CATTCTGGAAGGCATTCATTCATAGGGTAACCATAAATTGGAGACAACACAAAAGGCATGAAAGAATAACAGCAACAGGAGGGTTGAAGACCAATCCCCGAAAAGTCTTAGTCATTTGGTATCTGTGTGCATGATTCTGCACCCTGTGAGTATGCTACTTACTCCTGTTATGTTCTCCTAATTCCTAGTACTTTTCCCATTTTCCTTCTCTCTTACTTGATTTCTTCGGCTCCTCTTCTCTCTGCCTATTCTGTCTCCCCCCACCCCAGCCCTGGCCCTGAGGCATGGGCATTGGCAGGTCTGCGACAGTGGTGACCCCTAAAGCCAAACCTGAGTGGCAGGATGAGAAGAGCATAAAGGTCTTGGCAATTGTGCTTGAGGAATGTACTAGGTAATCTACAGCCCTGAGTATATTTTTTCCCAGTAGGACTATCCAAAATTCTAATGCCGATGCATTCCAGCTCCTAGGGCAGGGTGGACTAGACTAGATTTAAAGACATAGAAACATAGAAAACAGAGCGAGTCAGAAGGGGTCTCCCGGGCCATCTAGTCTGACCTCCGGCACCAGCTGGCTCCGCTCACGACATGCCCACCATATGGACATCCAGCCTATCCTTGAACACCCGCACCGATGGGGCCTCAACAACCTCTTGTGGAAGCCCATTCCACACCCTCGGGGTCCTAACTGTCAGGAAGTGCTTCCTGGCATCCAAATGGAACCTTGGCTCCCTGAGCTTTGCTCCATTGGAGCGTGTCCTGCCTTCCTCTGCAGGGGAGAACAGGCCTCTACCCATCTCCATGTGACCAGTAAGGCTAGATTTAAAGACCAGTAAGACTAGATTTAAATCATGGTTTTCTACATAATTTGCATGCATGCCTGCCTTATCCATAGGTAGAGGAACTTCATTAAAATATTCCATAACTGGACCTCTTTTATGGCCTGCTACCATTAAAGGTTTTTTCCTCCTGGGAAAGAATAATATGATAAATCTCAGGCTATACACAAAAAGATCCGAAGTAATTCAAAGGATCTTTTCATGTGAAGTGTTCCGGCCAAAATGTCTCACTTTCATTTTTACTGCTTGCTCCTCCCACCTCACACTTAGTTTCTTGTACTGATCTATTCTACTCAGGGCAGTATTCTTCTGTTCATTGAAATTTTTGGAACTTCTGTTCATTGAAATTTTTGAAACTTAGCGCAAGAGGCAAGGGGTTGATTCTGTGTACATGGATTTGCAATGAACAATGGGAATAAGGTCTATATATCTAAAGGTTATCTAAAGAAACGTCTGCGTCCACATATACCCGCCCGCCCCCTACGATCGGTAGTGGATGCCCTTCTCCGGGAACCCTCCGTGAAGGATATTAGGAGGGTGAGTACCTGAAGGAGGGCCTTTTCTGCAGTGGTGCCCCACCTATGGAATGCGCTCCCCAGAGAAGTCCGCCTGGCACTGTCATTATTTGCTTTTCGGCGCCAGGCAAAGACCTTTTTAATTTAAAAGTTATTTTAACTGTTAATTTATTATTATTGTATTTATAGATTTTAATATATAGCCGAGATGGTACCAGTTTTTAAATTATTGATTGTATTTTTGTGTTTATGGAAGTTGTGAGCTGCCCCGAGGCTTTGTTGCAATGGGGGCGGCATAGAAATGTTTTGAATGAGTGAGTGAGTGAGTGAGTGAGTGAGTGAGTGAGTGAATGAATGAATGAATAAATAAATAAATAAATAAATAAATAAATAAATAAAATATATGTTTATTTTATTACATTTCTGCTATGAAAAGGCATTGATCTCTGTAGACACAAATTCACAGCTTTGAGAACTGTAAAACCAAGCTCTGTGATAATATCTTCTTGATAGAAAAATTGCCTTATAATTTTACACAAACCTCTTGAAAAGCATGACATTGTGAATGGATAAATGGAATTAATTTACCAGAAAATTTAAGCTTGGCATGAATATACAACCTCATGCTACATAATTAAAAACTAATCCCTATTTCATGAAGAGCAACCTTTTGATTATAATGTATCTTAAATAGAAAACTATCTTTAGATAGAATTTTCCTCAAAAAGCATTTTATTAAGAAATCCAATTTAAATTTAAAAATCTGATTTAAATAAAATCCAATTTAAAAATTGAAAATCCTTATTATTTTTAATCATTGTTTTTTATCCACCCTGTCCTCAGGTCATGGTGGAGCAATGTAAGTGTAGCTTGTCAGTGGTTCAGTCCCTGCTGCATACCCCATTGTTTGTGACACTGAGATGTATCAAGGCTGGCATTAAGAAATACAGTGTGAGAAATCACATGCAGTAAAGCAGCCTTCGCCAACTTGGTACCATTACAGGACTATAGACTGGTCTTATGATCCCCATCCAGCTTGGGGAATGGTCAAGAATTGTAAGAGTTGTAGTTCAAAACATCCAGAAGGTATCAGGTTGGTGAAGACTGCATTAATAGGGAAGTTGATGCATTAATAGGGAAGTCTAGATTATTGGTGGATTCAGTCAGTCACCGATTTCCTTGAGCAAGTATAAAAAGTGTTAGCAGGGATTTCCTATTAATCTTTATGATCTCTGAAACTCCAAGTTAACTGTGGGAAACTTGTAGCCCTAGACAATATGGCCAGTGGTCAGGAATGATGAGAGTTGTAATCCAACAGCGTCTGGAAGGTAATTTCCCAACTCTGACCCATATGTTCAAAGCTAGGATCCCAGTTCATTGGCTATCCAGTACTGCCCATTTACTATGAATATAAGAAATGAAATGCTGAATCAGAACAATGGTCCATCTAGTCCAGCACTCTGTTTACATGGTGGTAGATCTGTTGCCCAAATTGCCCTCAAACAGGATGGGTACAAGAATTCTGCCCATAATGGCATAAATTTACACTCTTAAAACTGTCAAATAGTATGTGGGAGCATAGCTTTCAAACTTACATTGCTATTCCCTGGAGCTGAAATTAGAGTGAATAAAGATGAGAAAGAAGAAATACCATATGAAGAAGAGCTGCTAGAATTCTGTCAGCAAGTAAGCATGTCTACCAAAAAAAAGTTGGAACCAGCTTAAGGGAATGCTGCAATGCTGTGGTACTATTTAGAAAAATAGGAGTGTATGTTTGGGATACTGTAATCTGATTTCCCATCTTATCATTAGTGTATTAGAAAACAATTTATCAAGATGTATGAGCAAAAATATGTTTTGTAACAACGTGTATAAGCCATTTATTTTCCAAGTTACCTGGACATTTAGTAATGCCCAGCTGTTGTGTACCCTTTTTGTGGTGTAGGCTGTGCATGATGATGGTATAGGAATACTTCCTATAATGTTTTTAAGGGTTTTATAGTGTTCTGTTTTTATTGTTCTGATTATGGTTTCAATTGATACTGTTTTTTCCTTTTATATAGTTGCTACTTTTTCTTCTCCATTTTATCCTCATCTCATACCAATGAAGTAGGTTTGACAGAGAACCAGCAACAGAGTCAAAGCCACCCAGTGGCCTTCATGGCTGAGTGGGGACTAGAACTTGTATTTACTAAATCCATGTCTGACATTCCAACCTTTATTTATTTATTAAAAACATTTTTATGCTGTGTTACACCTTATTGGCTGTCTTTAATTTATAGATTTCTGTAATTTTGTGTATAAGTTGGTTTGTGACTGGTTTTTGCAGTGCTACATACATTTAGAAAATAATTATAAAATTTATTTTTGTCCAGAATCTATTTTATAGATTGTTGAAAGAATAGTTCTATCATGCTTCTGTTTATAAAGCTGGTGAACTGTACTAATTACGAATATGTGCCAAGAAGTCTGCAGTACAATGTATTTTGATTTAGAATGTTGATTTGTTTTATATTTAACATGAGGTTAATGTGTCAAGAAATATGCACATGGATAATTTTTCTGTACTGAAGTGAATAAAGAAGCTACCTATGATGAATGGTTCATAGGTACACACAGAAAAGATCACGGGATGGGTATCCATGTGAATATTATAAAGAAAACTAAATCATTTTAGAACATGTTCATAGCATGTGAACATGTTAAAGTGTTTTGGAGAGCTGGGGAGATAAGATGTGGAAAAGCAGATTTAAAAAAATATTTATAAAATTGAATAGTAAGTCTGAATGCAACAGAGGAACAGTTGTATTTTACCACCTCTTTGAATCATTGGTCCTGTAACAAATTGAGGATGGCAAAACCATGGTTTGGCATTATATGTAAGCTGTTATATAGTGCCAAACAGTGCTCCATCTATCCCTGGGATTGTATGCTGTACTTTTCTTCTTCTTTCTGTTTGCATGCTCTGATTCCCACAACTTCCTTGTTTGAGGACACCTGTTATATCCAAGTCATCAAACAGTAGCATCTTATTACAAAACTACAAGTTAAAGTGAATTGTTTTTGGAATCCCCTGGGTCCTTGGTTGTGTCTAGCCAGAAAAAAAAATGTACGTGCTACAACTAAAAACAGTTTTTGCTTGTTAACTACTTTGTATTCCTGGATTGAGAACAGGATTTGGGCACAATGGCTAGACAGTGTAAAAAAAAATAAAATGGAAAACAGAAACACAGAAAGCAACAGTGTTCCCTCCTAGACAGAGTAAACTCTATGTAGTTATACATTATACTGATTGATTAGAAAACCCATTTACACACACATATGCACTACCATTTCTCTGCACACTTTTTCACTTGGCTTGAAGAGAAAGCTGCTAGAGTTCATCTTACAAAGTGCAGTGGGCTACAGTGCCAAAAGGGTCTATGTTAGGTCCCTGAGGTTCTGGTCAGAGAAGGAGATACGAGGAAGGGGCTTGAGGTGGCCCATAGGGGAGATATCCCCACACAAGACCTGCATGTGCGTTGTCTCTACGTTATTTTAAACTGATCCCTCCTCATTGCAAGAGATGTTTTGAAATTAATAAATAATACTGTCAGCCTAGAATTGGTTTGTAAAATTTTCTTTTTAAAAATGTTCTTTCCTAATACAGATCTTTCCCTGTTGAGGTTCATCAATGCAGAGCTAACAAGGGGTTACTTCCTTGAACATAATGAAGCAAAATACACAGAACGGAGAGAAAGAGTATATACATGCATGCGAATACCAAGAGAACTGGAAAAGGTAAATTATCTCACTTGGATTAATAAATGCAGGATCTGACTTTATCTTCCAAAGCATGCAGTGTAGTGTAAACATCTTATATTGCAAAAAAAGAGACTCTGTTAACTTGTCTTTCATTTCTATAATTTGAGGATTTTATTCTTTCTTCACTTCCTGGTGGTCACATTGGTGTCTTATGTATGCTGTTACCAGAATGGAGTATGTAGGCTCAGTTCCAAAGAGATGATGTGTGGGCCAGAGAGAACAGCATGTGCAGCCAGAGCTTTACTTGTTGTTTTTCTGCAGTAATTCCACTGCCAAAGAGAAAAGCAGTGGTTCAGTTTTTAAAAGTGGCTTATCTCTTGCACTGAGAAATGCTACAGAAATCCAAAACAAAGAGGCCAGCCATTGTGCTTGTAATATTTTCTAGCCTAGAGCACAAACTAGTTTGAATTCCTTCAAATTGTCCTTTTCAGATTGTGCATAGCTAAACTTAGTTCTATGCAGTGTAGGTTTAAAGGAAGCTGTGGTAAGGAGTTGAGGTACATGTACACCAATGCTAGGAGCATGGGTAATAATAAGCAGGAAGCGCTTGAAGCTCTCCTGGGTATAGGAGGTTATGACCTGGTGGGGATCACAGAAACTTGGTGGGATGAAAGGCAAGACTGGAATGTAAACATAGAGGAGTATCACCTGTTTAGAAAGGACAGGAAGGGAAAGAGGGGTGGGGGCATAACTTTGTATGTTAGGGAAAGGATAGGATGCAGTGAGATAGAATGCAACACAGATGGGGATCTGGTAGAGGCAGTCTGGGTGAAACTAAGGGTTTTGACAGGGAGAGGGACCTGACAGTGGGGGTACGTTATTGCCCTCCAGGTCAACTTGAGACCCTGGACGATTTCCTGACAGATCAGATTCTAAGAATATCTTGGGGGAGGGAGACAGTAATTATGGGAGAATACAGTCTTCCAGATATTAGTTGGGAGACTCACTCGGTGGTGACAGCCACTAGATGCTATAGAGGAAGGGTTTTTCATGCAGAGGGTCCAAGAGGCGACGAGGGGTGGGATATCCTTGACTTGGTTTTGACTAACACGGAGGAGCTGATAGATGGGGTACAGATTAGGGGAGCTCTGGATGCAAGTGATCACTCCATCCTTTCATTTGATTTCAGGGGAATAGGGACAGCAGGTCAAGTACTATGCAATGGGAAGGCATACAAATACTCTACATACATACATACATACATACATACATACATACTAGAAGCTGGGACTTCAGGAGGGCCAGCTTTGGCCTACTGAAGGCCAGACTGGAGAAAGGCTCCCAGGATAGGTTACTGGAAGGCAAGGGAGTTGAGGAGGAGTGGATGGCCCTCAAAAGGGAGGTTTTGGAGGTGCAAGACTTGATAATAACTGTAGTTAGTAAGACAGGGAGGTGAAGGAGAGTGCCGCCATGGATGCGAAAGAAGGTGGTAAGAGGGATTAGATGCAAGAGGAACATCCACAGGAAATGGCTGCTGGGGAAATAGACAAAAGGGTATACCGGGAGGAGGAGGCCCGTTGCAGAAGGGTTCTTTTCAAGGCTAAGGCTGATTATGAGCTGAGACTTGCAAAGAATATTAAGAGCAACAAAAAGGGCTTCTATCAGCTTGTAATTAGCAAGAGGAAGTGGAGTCAGATAGTGAGACCGTTTAACAAGGAGGAGGGGATCCAGTGACTGATGCGAGGCAACAGGCACAAATCCTAAATTACTATTTTGCCTCTGTGTTCTCCCCAAAGCAGGATGGGGGAGATCTGCATAGGAGATTAGATGAGGCCAGGGACTTAGGGGCACAGATTAGAGTCACTTGCCCTAGAAGTTGAGGGGCTCCTCAGGGCACTGGATGTTACAAAGGCACCAGGCCGTGACGGGTTACACCCGAGAGTACTTCGAGCATTGGCAGGGGTTCTCTCATGCCCACTGGCCTCCATTTTTGAGGCCTTGTGGAAAACAGTGAAGTTCCAGAGGATTGGAGGGTGGCATCAGTGGTCCCAATTTTCAAAAAGGGTAGTAGAAGGGACATGGGGAATTACAGACCAGTTAGCCTTACGTCCACTGTAGGAAAAACAATGGAAAGGCTCATAATAGCGAGAGATCTAGTGATGCTAGATAGGGAAGGGAGGCTGGCAGCCACACAACACAGCTTCCACAAAAACAGGTCCTGCCAGACAAACCTTGTGGAATTCTATGGCAAGGTTTCGAGATGGCTAGATGGAGGGGATGCGGTGGATGGGGTTTACCTGGATTTCAGCAAGGCCTTTGACAAAGTGCCTGGTTGAGAAATTGAGGAGCTTTGGGATAGATCAATGCACTGCCTGATGGATTAGGGCATGGTTGACTGACTGAAAGCAGAGGGTAACCATTAGTGGGGAATCATCAGGATGGCAGCCAGTGACAAGCGGGGTCCCCCACGTCTCTGTTCTGGGGCCGATTCTGTTCAAACTTTTCATCAGTGACATGGAAGAAGGGGTGAACAGTCTGCTGATCAGATTTGCAGACAATACTAAAATGGAGGCAGTGGCCACAACTGAGGAGCAGGTAACCAGATCCAAAAGGATCTGGACAGACTATGGAAGTGGGCAGGAGACAACAGGATGGCGTTCATTGTGGATAAGTGCAAGTTCTTCGTCGTGGCCTTTGTGCATCACACATATGGGTTGCTGCGCCTGCGCAGTGCCTAGGCCGGAAGATTAGAAAGCTAACGTGGTATAAATAGAGCGGAGTGTCCGCCATTTTACTCAGTCTTTGCGACCACCGTTCACTGTCCCTCATGCCTATTCGTCTCTCACTATAGATCTGTGCCTCTTGTTTTTTTTCTCAAAAACCTTAAACTCCTCTTGCTCCAAGTTTGTTCTTCTTCCCGATTCTGTCCGTTTTCTTCTTAAATTCTCTTCTCTCTATATATAAAAAAGCAAAAAAAAAATTATCTTACCCTCTATACTGTCCTCTTTTCTTCATTTTTCCGCGATGGCGCAGCGGGCAGCATTCCGCAAATGTATTGAATGTGGATCTAAAATGTCGCCAGTTGATCCACATGATCTGTGCCTCCTCTGCCTCAGCGAGGGGCATAGGACTGACAAATGCGGTCATTGCTTGGCGTTTACCAAGCAGGCACGGAAAAACAGGGAGAATCGTCTCAGGAAGCTCCTATGGGATCAGGCATTAATGCAGTCTGACCAACTGCTCCTATGGCCTGGTTCCTCTTCGTCTGCGCCTCCTCAGCGCTCTTCCTCCACCATGAGCGCTCTGGCGAAGCGTCCTTCCCCGACCTCTGCCGATCCTCCGCAGCGTCCTTCGGACGAAGGCGCCGCTTCTATGGAGGCTCAGTCACTGCCTTCTTCCCCAGCTAAGAAACGGGAGAAGCACAAGCATTCTCTGGATAAACATTCCACCCATAAGAAGTTGAGGAAGGAGAAGGTGGATAAGCCCGCTCGCAAGAGCAAGAAACCTGATTGCCCAAAACACCGGGGCTCAGGTTCATCGGGCTTTTCGGTACCGACAGCCACCAGGTGATTCGTTATGCAGGTGATTCCACCGGGATCCCCCAGGCCAACCACTCGGCCTGAGAGCGTGCCTACCCAGCAACAGGAGGAGCCGTTTCGGGAGTCCATCTCTGATGGTGAGATCAGAGACTCCCTGCCGAGGGACCACTCGCCAACACCTATGCCACCGACTGAACCTCATGTGGCCGCACCATTACCTCCCAGATGTCGCAGCCTTTCATCCGAACATCGAGATGAGAGTTGGTTGATCCTGGGATATGGTGCTCCCCCCGGCTGGGGTGGTTACCAACCATATCCCTATTTTCCTCGGGATCATAGATCACCATCGGTCCCGAGGGACGTACCATCCACCTACAGGCGTACGGAGACGAGGCACCCAACCTCCCCTGAAACCTCCTCCTCCTCAAGCGAAAACCGGCCACGTTACGTGGAAGACTCCGAGGATTCGGAGGTCGACTCCACATCCCCCGATGTGGCTGTCACATACCAAGGGCCTGCTTCATCTGACGAACCACATGTCTCTTTCACAGAGCTCATGTCCCGCTTAGTTCGTTCGCTTGAAATCGAAGCTCATCAACAGCCAGGCCCCTCCACAGATCGGTTTTATGATGTCGTTCGGGGAGAGCAGTCCGCATCCATAGCTCTGCCGCTTATAACTACACTCCGCCAGGCTATGGTCCAGCCCTGGGACCAACCGGACCAACCACAAGCTATCTCCCACAGATATGAAGCCATGTATAGAGTTTGTGACGATGACATTCCCTTCCTGCTCCGTCACCCGAAACCAAACTCTCTTGTGGTTGAATCCTCCCAGGGCAGGGAGTCCAGGGGACATACCGCTCCTCGGGACAAGGAAGGGAGGAAAATTGATATGCTTGCGTGCCGAGTCTATGCGGCCTCTGGACTCGGCGTGCGCATATCGAACTACGAAGCGACACTGGCACGTTACCAGTACTTTATCATGCAGAAGCTGGATAACGTTGCTTCCTCCCTTCCAGACCACCAAGCGGACCTTGCCAGGGTTTTCATTAAGGAGGCGATGCAGGTGGCAGTAAACAGTCGTCTACCGCTCGTCATCATGTAGACACCGATTCAAGGGCCCTCGTCAATGCTATCTCGTTACACCGAAATGCGTGGCTGTGCAATTGTAATTTCCCCAATGAGATGAAGCGCCGAATCGAGGAAATGCCATTTGACGGTACCGGTCTGTTCCACCAGAAGACCGACCGCAAATTAAAGGCAATTCACGAATCACGCCTAACTGCACGCCACATGGAGCTCCCACAAAAACGTAAGTGGCAGTGGCCTCGGTCTTCCTACCGGAACCAACCATACTATCCGCACCAGCAAAACTACCCTCGCCAGCAATATCAACAATGGCAGCATTGGAGACAGCAAACACAACAGCGTTTTTCCCAAGGCCGTCGGCGATTCAATACCGATAAATGCCCACGTTGATGGCTTGGGCGAACCATC